TTCATTTTACAATAATGACACATATTTTGTGTATTGAACTTACTTGGTGATCAGGAGTTTGGACCATTTTAAATTTGAAAAAATGAGTCGAATACAAACTCCTCATTTCCAGACAGGATTTAGAGCAACAAAAAAGCCACCATCAGCTGCATATGACTGTCAAAGGTATCAAAACATATGAGCAATAAAAATAAAATAAAAACAGAAAGTGATCAGTAAATGTAGATGTGTAAAATACTCTCCAGGCCTTGTTTTAATTAAGAGCTACATAAATTAACATTACCTCTTGTTAAATTTGAATAATTCATTTTTTTGACATTGAGCATAAGGTGATTAAGATTCACTGTGAGACTGTGAATCAGCTGCCCGTCTGTTCAAACTCCATGCAGCCTGCAGGGCCCTGATACTTCCTCTCCTTCACATTAGAAATCCTCGCCTCCTTCTGCAAGGCTTCTTTCCAAACTATACACACACACACACACACACACACACACACACACACACACACACACACAACACACACACACACGCACACACGCACAGGGCATTATACAGTGGAGCAGGTTTTCCCAACCTTGGAGCCTGACCCCTTGTGGAGTCGCCTGAAATTGTATGGATTTATTTATAAATTTTATTTTATTGTACATTCAAATACATTGAACACAGGCTACTGTGGGTCATAGTCGATGCCAAAACAATAAATTTGCAGTGTCTCTGTCTGTCATCCATTGTGCAGAAATGTCATCCCAGCCTTTCTTCCTCTGTTCACACAGTAATATACACGAAAAAGCCTAAATGTGGTCCAAAAGTAATGTTTAATTTCAACACACACAAAAAAACTATTACATGATTAAAAACTGATTATTTTAGAAAAAAAGTTGTGTGTGTTTCGGATGTCTGGGGTCACCAGAGTTTTTGTGAAGTTAAAGTGAGGTCACGAGCCAAAAAAGGATGGGAACCACTGCAGAAGAGGATCAAGGAGAACATCCCTCTCATCTCCTCTGAGATGTATTTGTTGTTACATCTGTTGCTACATCTGCTTTCAGGCAGCTGCAGCCTGTAGAGTGGTGCTCTGCTTTGGCCAGCAGGTCAGTTTACTCTGTGGGTGTTTATGTTGAGAGACGCTCTATTTATTCAGGTGAGTTGCTTAAGAAGACAAAGATGAAGCCTGCATGTGGAGAAGCCTTAAGTTGTCTTAGCTTCATTCAAAAGCACTTTAAACAAACATCTCTTTGTCCCCCTAAAAGCCAGACTCTTGGAGCACAAAGTTACAGTTGATGTGAAACATGTGCATTCACATTGATTACCACACTTTAAAACATTTCACAATATTTCCACAAATTCACATTGGACGTTTTGAATGCACAGCAGAGGTGCAGTGATTCAATGCGCTCTACTGTTCTATGAGTCAGACGTCTAAAAAATAAAGAAATACAAGGTGCAAACTGGGTCAGGCAAAGTGTGAAGATGGAAGTTGGAGATCAGATTCAGTTCAAATCTGCTGTACAATAAAATCTGTAGAGTGGCATAAAGCAACATGTTAAACATCTAATGAAATCTGCATTCATGACGTCATTACTGGAACACAAACGTTAATATGTTTTATGTAGAGTGGTTGATTATAATTAAGAAAAAGATCTGCAGAGCATTTAACAATGTTCAGCTCACTGTTTGGGCTTTTCTACCTGCAGTGTTTATTGTTTTTGAACAACCTTTCTGCTCTCATTGGTGCCTTTCCACCACAACAGGCAGCAGGGTGACACAGCAGGCTGTATTCTATCTGCTCGAAAACAGACACAGCACATATCTTTAGTGAAAGTATAGCGGAGCATTTAGCGGCCACAGGGCCAGATATTTCCCCCAGGAATGGGTGGATGCCAAAACAGAGCAAAAAGAGAAATTGATGGACTTATATTCTCCAGGTGAACAGAAACATGGCTTCAGAACTGCTTTGATCCTGATATGTAAGAACAATGCGAGTCGAAGATGTCAGGGTTTTGCTCACCGTTAGTCCCAGTGACCTAAAATGGTCCAAAATCAAGAAACACTACATACGCTTAAAGTGCGCAAAAGACTTGTGTTATGTTAGTTCGGCTCTTACTCAGTTAGCTGGACTATTTCGACACTAAAAATCATCCTAATATTTCTTCTGTCTTTGTTAAATGTGCCATAGGTTAAATCTGATATTTTACAGTAGGCTACCTATAATAACTCTGATACTGTGTGTGCCGTTTCACTTATAGCTCAAACAGATGTTTTCAATGCTGGTACTCATTTTTTCATAATTCTGCTTTGTATGTTTATGCTGCTATAATTAAATCTCCAGAAAGCGCAGTAGAGGTCATTTGGTCTCACCTCACATTTACTATCACTCCATTCATCACATCATGTAGTCTTTTTAAAAGGGCTTATTGTATTCTGCTCTGTCTATAGTTTGTATTTTTAGTATTGTTGTACTGCTCCCTCTTTTATCCATTGAACTGAGTACTTTATTTCATTCCCTTCTATACACTAACATATTCTAGGATGAAAAAAAACAGTTTAAACTGAATAAGTTTAAACAGGACAAGTTTAAACTGTTTAAACTGAATAAGTTTGCTACTGTTCTCCTGATGTAAACTAAACTTCTGCTCTGAATAGGCACATTTCCGCCCTTGTCCAGCACGTCATCCTTCAGTGTTTCAAATCTTTTTCCACACAGTTTTACCTCCACACAGCTAAAACAAACCTGCTGCCTTTTCCCTCATCTACACTACATTCAGTCTATATCTATTATATCCCAAACACACTTCCTTTTTCGACTGTGGGCCATAGTGTTTCAACTTTCTTTTCTTTTATCTACCTCCTGGATATTTGAATTTTTAAAAACAGCACAATTTTTGACTTGTATGTACCTGTATGATGAATTTGCTGTTTGCAGACTGCCTGTTATCCTTCTCTTTCCTGGCTATTCACAACATACATCTTGCTTTTATCTGGCTGTGTGTGGAGGACCGAGATACTTCAGTATTTCTGAACATTTCTGTGTGTATTTGTTACCCCTTTATCATGTTGTGCGGCAACAAAAACAAATCCCCCAGTCCATTATTGCATGCATAATATGGCACATAAATGGATGGTCCGTTTCCAGCTCTGTGTTTACATCGTGCCATATGTTTCCAGTTTGTGTTGAGCTGTGCTGACAGACTGAGAGCTGTTTCTGAGACCACCCTGTGATGATGTAATTACCCATGAGAGCGGGGATGTTAGCCCATGGGGCTCTCAGTCTGTGCAGTAATGTAATCACCTGACTGAGGTCATCATAAACAGCTCTAACTAGACTCACTCAGACTGAGGATCAGTAACATGTATAAGAGATACCTGCAGTTGAAACATTATACACTTATTGGTCAAAATTACATCGTAACAAAATATTCTGCTTGTGTTTGAAAACAAAACAACCGGCCATTTCTTCTGTCATTGCATTTTTGTTTGATTTGTTAAAAACTAAAATAATTGATCAAATGTCTTTTTCTTTTTACAATAAAACTTTGGAGCAATAGTTTAGATAATGTTTATGATAATACAAAATAAAATAGCCTATAGAAAGTATTATTTTGTATCATGTTGCACTGTGTGATCATAATTTTTAGACTAAAGCAGCAAAAGTGAAACAGGTTCACATTCCTTTATTTCTACTCATGGGTAGATTTGTTTTGGAGCAGGCCTGATAGTGACATCGGACACAATCACTCACGTGAACTTTGATGCTGTTTGCAGCAAATAATACAACAAATAGATAACTTTGGCCCATATGGTATTTTTTTTCTAGGCTGCGTAAACATAGTGAAATAAAAATGACAGCTATGACAAACAGTCAGCAGATATGATTTTATTATGCAGGTCTTTAACATTTATTTATTACAAAAGCTCAACATAAGAGACTATTTGGTCAACTAACTTAGTCCCTAAGGAAGAATATTACATTTTTCTGGATCAAAGACACTGTCCCTAAAAAGTCAAGGCACAACTTTGTAATGGAATGTATTCCTAATTAATATTTGACGTGCATGCTTCACTCCTCGGACGACCATTTCTATAAGATGTGAGACCCTTAGTTAGTATATTGGCCCTATATTTTTTGTCATCTTCAATAGGTTTCCTTTGGCCTCTTATTGTAATACCTGCTGTCCTTTAATCTCACCTTTTGTTCACGTTGACGCTGCCTTTTCCATGAAGTGATGGTTGGACTAACAGGGGACATTGGTTATTGGAACAATATTTGTTGGTGTTTCTTTTTTTCCATGATAACGTTTATGAATTGGTGTCATGATTTCTCTGAGCTTATTTGTTTCTTGATCAGTTTGCTTGTTTTTAGTTCTACTGAAATATGTAGTAAACATCCTACAGTATGTTTGAAAGGCTTGGTTGAATTTGAAATAAACACAAGATACTTTTGCCTTATAGTCAAATGCAAACGTACTTGGCAATAAACATCGATTTTGATTCTGATGAGTACTGCTATTGTATACAAGACACTGATATGTTTTGTATTTTTATCTTGACTAGTTTCACCTTTAAAAATGCCTATAAAATATGTTTTTGCTTATAGAAAATTAAGTTTAAATATATATACCAAGTCACTTTTCAAAATGATATCACGTTTTATATATAAAACGTGATATCATTTTGAAAAGTGACTTGGTTTCCTGAGGGCTGCCAGTAATTATCACCAGAGTAAGTTCATGATGATTTTTGCTAAGGTTGAACATAAATGTGAATCTGGCTTCAGAAGTTATAAAAACGTTCATATTTAAATACTATGGGAAAACCAAGAAGTGCATCCTTGAACCGTACTTTTCTTGGAAAGTGCATGTGCCTCTCACTGACTCATTGTGGTCGGAGTACCCAGGGGCCACTAAGGGGCCCCCCTGACTCACGCAGGCGGTCTGCGCCTTTTAGGTGACGGGGGACTGTGTAACTTGATCCGGGGTGAAAACAGTGCGCCTGATCCGGCTGCCAGTCCACACTCAGTTCGTCAAAGAGAGAGAGAGAGAGAGGAGGTGCATAATGGACCCGGTCCCTCTGCTGCTCATCTTGGTCTCTTATGTGCCGCTCGGCTCGGCGATCTACGACGGGCCCCTCCAACCGGAGATCTCCAATGGCTCCTTCCATCACTTCTTCGTCCCAGACGGGGATTACGAGGAGAACGTGGACCCGGAGGAGTGCCAGATGCTTTTTAAATTCTCGGATGTGTATCCATGCGGGGCCTCAGAGGAGCGGGACTCGGTGGTCCGGGACGACTTCATCATCTCCAAGCTGCAGGCGGAGGACGCGGCGCGGCTGCTTGAGGGCATCGGGCGGACTGTGGCGCACGACCTGGACGGAGAGGACAGTTACGGGAAGTTCCTGCAGAGGGAAATCTCTCAGATCGGTGAAGCTTTCTCCAGCGTGGACAAGTCTCTGTTGGAGCTGGAGGTAAAGTTTAAACAGAGTCAGGAGACGGAGCTGAGAGAAGAGCAGCAGCTGAACGGATACGTGATGAAGCAAGTGAGCGACATCAGGGGCGCACTGAGGGGAACCACCGACATCTCTGTTGGACTGAAGGACAAACACGAGCTGCTGTCTCTCATCATCCGCAGTCATGGTAGCAGACTGAGTCGTCTGAAGACAGAATTCCTACATGTTGGCTCCTAACAGTTCAAAGTGTGTGTGTGAGTGTGTTTGTGTTTCTGTGTGTTTCTGTGACCCTCCAGTTCATCAAACAACTGGAAAGTTTGCTGTGGGTTATGAATATCCCTCCTAAGTATGTTGAATGTGTCATTAGAGGGGGAAACAGCAGCATAGTCCTCTGAGTCAGGAGGGGAAAAGGAAATGTGAACATGAATTGTGTCTGCATGGAGTCTTCTGTGCCACCTCTGAGGATGTATTTTATTCTGGAGGGAGAAAGAAAATAAAACCCTCCAACAAGATCTATTCCCCTCAGAATCAATAAACAAGCTGCTTTTTGTCTGTATAGTGTAAATTATGTTGCCTTTACAGTTTAAGTATTTACTGATCAAATAAATGTTTCATATTCATCTAATATCTGAAAGTTGTCTGCTGCTTACAAGCTTGTCCTGAGATGTTTCAAGCCAAAGCTTATAGTGTGTAAAAATACATGTCCATCCTTTGAAGCTTGAATTTTCCATAGACAGTGAAAACCTTTGAAATCTGTTCTTTTTTAATATCCAGCAGTAGAATAGACTCCCCCCCCCCTTCCTCCTAGTCATCTATTTACGTCCCCAACTTTGTTGTCGGCATTACAAGTAGCAGTCTCGACCATCCCGTCAAACAGCCCTGGTTAATTGGCGACTGAGGTTTGTAACTGCCTCCCACTTCCATCTGGAAGTCATCTACTGCAGTATGAAATATGTTTGTCCGGAGGCAACCGTTGCTATCATTATCTGCCCTTTAGTGTGTCATGATCTATAAAAATTTGTGATTGATTTGACGTTTTTTGTGTGTTGAGATTCTGTGTTTGTTTGAGTTATTATGAGCACTATAAATAGAGTTATAGATGACACGCAGCTTGTATAATCTCTAAAGAGACCACTGTTTTTTTCTTCTGCTGTTATGACAGAAAACATTGTTTTTTTCAGACACAGTTTATGTGAGAAAAGTTGTTTAGAATTCCTGGAAGGCATTAGTCCTTATCTACTGCCAGACTGTTTAGATTTACAGTGCAGTGGATTTAATACAGAAAAAGCCTTTGGTATAACGTGTGTAGTTTCCATCTTTAACTAGCATTTAAAATTATCTTGTTCCACCCGATGTCTGCAACAACCACAATATAACTGCCACAAGCGTGCCCACTTTTTGTTTTCTACAGATAATGTCTCTGTAGATGTGAATGAGCCAGATGTGCTGCCAGGGGCGCAACTGGGTGTGATTTCCTCTGTCTGGTTTTCCTCACAGTCCGGCTTCCCCTGAGGGACCCCTTTTTAAAAACAGCTCTGTGTAGCTCAGCACAGTTGGGGCCAACCCTTTCAGAAACCCCAAACTCCATGTGTGGAGAAACCCTATATGCCTGTATGACGTTTAATTGTCAGGGGCGCATGAACAGGGCTCACAAGATTTCACTGAAAGATTTGGTTAAATTTCCACTAGTGTCAGTAAAAGTAGAACAGGTCAGGAAACCTCTCAAGGCAAACTCAGCCACCCTACTTAGTTTGTCTTTTTTGGCTCTAATCGTTAATTCCACCTATAGGGAAGTGTGTTTTTGTGGTTTCAGGTCTCTGGTGCTAAGAAGGAGGAAGGCTTTTTATGGAAGAATGTATTCTCCTCACGGACATATTTTAAGGACAAACAAAGAAAAGGTCAGGAATGTTGACCTGAGATCACACTGATCCCTCTCTGAGGAGAGCCAGAAGCCCTGGAGCCACATACCTCTGTGCTGTTATTATTAGACAGATGAGAGCTATTTGAATTCTATAACTGCTACTGGTCCTGCCAGTATGACTGTAATAAATACCCCTGTATATTACAACTGTTAATACTACTTGTATCATCCTTCAATGAAATATGCTGCTAAAAGTCAGTCATAGTCCTTGAGAGGAGATGGTCTTTAATAACTCTTCAAGAATGAGCAGCTTCAGTTCTATAGTTCTCTGCCTGTTGTTAGGCTGAATGAAAGTATGTTTTAGACAGCATTTCCAGTATGGCAATCGCCAATGAGGCTTCGTCCATGTTTATTTACAGTCAGTGCTTGTTCTGTGCCGGCTAATCCTGATTCAAACCTGAAATGTTTATTTTTAAACAACATAAGGCAGTGCTCTCACAGACACAGATAAGACACGTTTATTCAAAGGAACATTTACATGTAATATTGTTGGGGACATGTAAAGATCAAAATGTGTTATTTTAAGCCAAATTATGATTAAATAATGTTACATACTATAACTGTAATCCACAATCTTTAAACTATTTCATTACTAAACTGAAGCCCATGTTATGGATTGAAATGAACAACATTGGCACCAGAGCCTCTATAGAATCATTGCCCTTTTGGAGAACCCCAAGGATCAGTCCTTGGTCCCTGGTTGTTTTCCATTCCACTGCTATCTCTTGGAAACATAATCTGACAATATTAGTTTCCATTTTAACATAGATTGTAAAAAGCTCTATACTTTTGACGTTAAGTTAAATTAGCCATCTAAAAGCTTCCATTTGCATGTTTAAAACGATAGTTCAAACATTTGTCTTTTGCGAAATTGTTTTTATTGGTCTGAACCTAATAGAGTTTTTTTAAACTTATATTGTACCAATCCTCTTTTCAAAAAATGCTTGTTACAAATATGAGGTGTAATACAGTCTCAAATCTTCTGTTTATTTTTAATGTTATAGGCCATACAGGACACAAAGGATTTTATCTAAATAAAGAAATGGTTATTATAATTAATTTTGGTATTATTTTCAAATATGATTTAAAAAAGAACAAATTTTAATGCACAGTCCCAGAGGGAAATAGATAATCTGTTCCTGCATTTTGTAGAAATTATGAACGGTGCAATAAGATGGAGAGAATTACTGGTGTGCTGTGTATTTCAACATCATCAGAAATTACAGAATGAGATGAATCATTTCAGTATTGATGATAAACAGCACATTATTTTGAAAGAATCAGCATGTTTAAACCTCATGAGAACACATTTAGTCTCCAGTGGTCAGTATGGTGTTAACCAGCTATGAAGGCTTTCAGTGCTGCAGCTGCACTAAACAACTCTAAGAAGGTAATAAATATAATTCAAGCAACGCAGCAGTGAAGAGGAGGCACTGAGGAGAGGAGACACTCCAGGGACTGAGTGAAGCAAGCGAGTTAGCTGTCAGTAAGATTTAATTTGTCATAACAAAGTTGTGGTTAAGTCATTACAGCTCAAAGTAAATGGTATGTGTGTTGTTAATGGAAAAAAGAACCTTCGATATTAATCAATCATAAAAGAAATGTACACTTGTGCTTATTTCATGAGATCAAAGAGCTACTGATGTCATTATTTGGACTCGATGTCTTTGTATGAATAAGTGGTGTTCATTAAAGGAAGTTTTATTTTACTGTAATGCTCAGCAGACTATTGCCTCACTTTTTCTGCTGTTTAATTTGGACTTTGTTAGTTTGGTCAGTTTTCTTTATTTTGGTCAGTGACTCAAGCTCTTACCATATTTCACCATTTAGTTATTTAGAAGGGGTTGAATAAAACTCTTTCCTTGAAGCATGACCAGAAATAAAAATAGCTGCTGTTTAAAGGAAAAAGTTGTAAAAGTTTAAACTCAATTAGCAAGCCTTACTGCCCGCTGACACGCCAATGAACTCGTGTCGTAATACAAAAGAAAAGACGACTATAATAAAGTTTATGATGTCGGCGCAGTGTGTAACATTTGCAGGCATGAAAATGGTTTTGCATGGCTGTTTTATTTTTCAAAAATATTGTGATGGGGTTAAGACCTCAAGAACAACAAAACATTTCCCTCAAACACAGTTTGGCCTGAATGCTCATATTTTTCCTTGAACAAACACAAATGCATCTGCATACATACAATTCAAAAAGTACATGTACATATCTTGTTTTGAATGGGTACATAATGATACACAGTTGCCCTCTGAAATGTGACAGAACACACCGATTGTTTGTTCTTCAGTACAGATTTCAAATTTGTGCTATTGATATCCTGCCAATTTTTCTTTTTCTTCTGTTTTTCTTCTTTAACTAGCAGATTTTATGGGAAGAAAATGGTTTTTTTTTATAACTATTCTCCTCTTTAAGAGCAAGCAATGACACTGAACAGTTCATTCATAAAGAGGGACAGAAAAAGCACCAGAGGGACTGAAACCACCTTCAGTCAAATGTCACCTCTTTTTCATTTTCATGTGAGCGAGAGCCAGTGTGCCTTTCGGTCTCAGTGTCTGGCTGTGTGAAGGCTCTCTCTCTGCTCTGAGTCCCCGTACGGGTCAAACTGTCACTGCAACAGGGCTCGTCACCGTTTCAGGATGAGACAGGTGTCTTTTAGATGTGGAGGTGGCCTGTCACACACAGCCGTTCTCCTGCCTGGGCTTGTGCACCACTGGGGTGTGTGGAGGGTACAGGGAAGGAGCGAGTGTGCACAGGAAACCAGCCAGCAACGTGAGGCCCAGGCCACCCCAGGCACAAAACATGGACCAGCCGTAACCATGACTGATGTCCTCGGGTATTCCGAACATATAGCGAGGGTAGCGCGACAGTTCAAAGTTGATCCCAGCCACACATGTACAGAGGGAGATTATGCAGCATGTTCCTAAAAAAAAAAGAGCGAGAGAGAGAGAGAGTCAGACAACACATTTTAATCTCCTGTGATGATGCATCATTCCAGCATTCTCCTTTGCAATACTTTACTGCCTCTCTGTGGTGAGTTGGGGTAGTGCTCTTTATGTAAAGTACATCTTACCTCCCATAAGGAAGAGGAGTCCAGCAACATACTGCATCAGATCATGCTCCTTACAGCAGCCCAGAACGCCAATGATCCAGCCAAATAGGATGATGGATACGGCCATGCCAATGAAGCTGGCGGTCATCCTCTGGAGGTCTAAAAGAGAAAGTTTGTTTACAGGTGTATGCCACATTTCTCTACATGAATCCAACTGCGTTATTCAAAAAGGGCATTTTGAGAACTCACGTAGCGCGTGCCACTCATCCTGCCTTATCGTCTTTGTCAGATTGATTGGCAGATTCCTGGGCAGCGCTGATGATGAGTAGTAGTATTTTATTGGTGTGCAGCGCGGAACCAATCCTGTGCATGTAAACAACAAAGAGGATGTCACATAAGCGCTGAGATCAGATGAGGAGGATATCACAAGGCTATCTGAGTGCTACAACACCCCCTCCCCAAAAAAATGCAACCCAACCCCCTTCACCACCACCCACCCACCCACTCACTCACTCATCCTTCCACACCATTGTAGAGTAGCTTATTGTACGCATCTCGAGGCTTCTGTTACTATAGCTTGCCCTTTTGTGCTGGAAAATAACACAGCACGTCGATTGCGTTGTAACTGTACTCCGTGTGATACTGCGTAGGCCCGGAGGGTCCGTGCGCAGCATCAGCACCTTGGATAACGCATACGTGCACAAAGTATTCGCCGATAGCGCCAAAATGAACACATTACAGCATACAACATATGACAATAAAACAAACCTTTGAATATCAAATCCTCCGTCTCCAAGTCAAACCCCGCTCGGTGGCACTTTCTCCACAGTCCGGTGATGGTGGAGTTGTATTGCCGACTGCAGAGGGACTCCATGGCCGGGGCAGGAGGCGAGAAGTGCCGTTTCGCCCGCAGCAGCATCTCGCCGCTGACACCGGAGCCCCTCATCTCCAAATGTTTCTCCTTCGGCAACATGCGAAGTGGCAGATTGTTGTTGGAGATGTAGATGTAGCCAGGGTCGTTTCTTTTGTTGGAATAATTCTTGCAGCGCTCCCGGTGCCTCCTCGCGTCAGTCTCGTACCAGTTGTCAGTGCTGATCGCGATCGCTATCAGCCCTAAAGCGCAAAAAGCCAAAAAGAGACCAGCCACGGTTAAAGTCCTCATCGCAGCCATGTTCCATGCGTCTCTCGCCTCGGTGCCGTGATAAATCCACGGGACAGCAGGGCTCCGCTTCTGGCTGCTGTTGCTGCTGTCAGTGGGCTATTTGAGGTGGGGAGGGAATTCAACAAAAGAAGGAAACCTGAAATGCGGATAAATCCCCCAAGACCTCATTTCTTGGATTTGACATCTATCGCAAGAAAAGACCCAAATTCCGAGGCGGTGAATAAATAAATATGGGCCTCGATGAGCAATATTTTGGTTGTCTCCTCTTTGCCTCTGAACTCAGTCTAGCCTAGATATTGGTCAGTCCAACATTTCTTTCCAGTAGATGGAGACAGAGCAAATATTTGAAAGCACAACAAACCCCTAGGCCAGCACTGACACAGCAGATCATGGTCTATAGAGAAAGATGGTCAAAGTTTGAGAAAGTTACAGCAGAAGAAGAGCCTTCCCTCAGGTTCTATAGAGTCTCATAATGCTGCAGTTTAGACTCAATTGTTCGGTTGTGAAGATGACAGTCTTAAACCCCAAAAGGGCCTCTTTTTGTCTGGCTGATTTAAAGGAAACAGTTGCATCACATCCAACAGTTAATGCATTTGGTAACTTTTAATACAAATGAAGCCGAACATTAAAAAAGCACGTCACAAAACTATACAAGTAAACAGCTTTGTTGATTTTTTTGAAATTTAATATAGAGTAGCCATGAAAAGTATAAGCCCAATGGGTTCAAGTTTCAGTTTTTTTGCTGCTGAAGGCTCAGCAGAACTTTTATGGTTATGACAGGTGATGATAATCTCTAACTGGGTTTTATAAAATACATTGGTGGGGGGGTCAGCAGCACAAAGAGGGACACAGTGGCTTTGGACATTTCAGACATGTTCTTACTGGTTTCATTCTCTCCCTCAGTACTTCCTCAATTACGACCAGAATGCCAAAAGAGGAACAAACCTGGCTCCATACTTCACTTTTGGTTTTGGGTCCTGTGTGAAATAACCTACATGAACAAATCTTACTGGAGATAGTTAATCATATTGTTTTCACAAAGGGGATTCTTTTTCTTCAAAATCCTGAACCCTTTGATTTAATGAACATATTCATCTTCCGTTACGAATGAGTTCAGGTTTATGGAAAAAGTTGTTCTAGTGTCACAATGCTTCAGATTCTAAACTGTTTAAGAAGATATTCTTTTTAACATTCAAGAGTGCTGCTATTTATAAAAAGTCACACCTTATGAAACAGTGTGACCTCCTCTGACTGCAAACTCTGACTGTATGATGGTTTAAAGTAGCCAGTGTTAGAAACATTTTTCTCAGGACAATAATAAAGATACAACTCCTTAGAGGCTGAAAAAGAGGAAATCATCACAATAATTGTACAATCCACCTCTTGAATAAAGGAAATGTATGTTGAGTATGATTGGCTCATACTGCTGTTTACACCAGGCCATCAGGAACTAACTGATCATACGAATGTGACAATTGGATGTTATGAGAGTGTTCAGGGTCCGGCTTATTTCTTACTTTCAGTTCCCTCTAGTCCCCCGGTCTGGTGAAGTCAGTGCTCAGCAAGTTACGTGTTTCTCTGTGAAGCAATAAGAAAAAGTTTACATTGATTCCAAGCTGTACGATCCTGGATTCTAATGCTGCTTTGTATGCATGATGGACGGCTTTGTCATATCACCGGTAAGTGCTCCTGCTTTTCTGGTTTGTTGTTTGACCTTTGACAAAACATTCTGTGATTGTAGTTTGAGACACTGAGAGGATAGTTTGGTCTTAGTTCAACATTTTGTATCACTGTTTCTTTAAAAAAAAATAAAAAAAAACAGAAGTTATTTTAGCAAGTACTTCTGGTGATACCAGTGAGTTTTTATTTTTTTGATTGAGAAGAAGAGGAAGACTCAGTCATGAGGTTATGTTCGTCATTAAATAAGGACATGATGTCTTGTTTGCTCTGAAAACTGAGTAATATACTTATACATGTATCAGTGACAGTGACCCTAAGGTAGACCAGGTGACCTGGTCTGTGAGTTTACTCAATTCATTTCCTCTTTATGTTCTATTACAATATGGAAAAAAGTGAAAAAGTAAATACAAGTATTTTAGTGTAACAACTTACCAAGGCTCATATTTGACTTCATTTTAGCACGATAAAGAGACTCTAACCTTTACTTTATCTTGAATAAAAGAATAATTTTCCACCTCCAAAGGCTTCAGAGGAAATCAATCGAAATGACCCACAGGAATACAGACCCTCTGCAGAGCTACACCCCTTCCTCACAAATGTGGGAGAGATCTATGAAGGTGAGAAATCTGGATTAAGCCAATAAAAACTGTCTTAATAATTTGCTGCGTGCCTTAAGTGTCTTTCCTTCTTTCACGTTTCAGACCACAGATGGACCTTCCAGTCTGAGCGTGTACAGCCGACGGACTTTGACAATTCTCCTGTGAATCACCTCACAGAACTTCAATCTGTGTCTTCTCAACAACTGATACAACCGTACCGCTACAACAGCGAGCCTCTGGCCTTCCACCTGGACCCGACACTTGGAGCTCTCTCTGTGTCACCTCAAGTAAGATCATGTAGAGAAATTAATGATGGCCAAGTACATCTAGCATGATGAACACACAATCTCTATGGTATAAGGAAATAATCAGCATGTTTAATCACATGTCTGCCAAACAAAACTATCGTCCTATGGTAGGAAAACGCTCCCTGAATCTAATACAGGGTCAGTTTTGAAAGGGATCTTAGTGTTAGCAGTTTGCCCTGAACGATATATATAATCTAATATTGAAATGAGAAGTGTGCATATAAACTATGATGTTAAAGTTTCTATGTATTCTTCTGTATGGCAACATGTGATCTCTCCTGATTCCAAAATAATTGCAAATGGCACAAGTGTTGTTCTTTGTTTCACCTCAAGCTCTTCATCATCAACATTGTTGCTGCTCATCTCTCTGTCTTTGGCTCTCGAGCTAGCCAACTATCACTATATTGACACCCATTTTATCTGAGGGTAGCTAATGGCTAACTGGGGCTTCATCTGTTGTTCAAATGATGTGAGTCATGGCAAATGTGAGTCCCATCTGAATGGTCAGAGGTTCACATAGATGGCACATGTTCATTTTTTTCTCTAGTTATTGCTTTTCAGGTAGTTTTTTGGATGTATTTTATCCCACAGGTGTACACTGCAGTGACTATGAAAATGCGATTTGTCGTAAAGGAAGTTTTTCCTTGCAACTATATCTGCTAAAAGTTGTTTAGTGCTCATGGTGGATTAATATTGGGTCTATGCAAATAGTAATGTAATAATAATAATACAATATAGCATAACAATGAGTACGGTCTCCTGTTATTTTGGTAAAGTGTCTCACAATAAGATTTCAGAGGCTGGAGCAAGGGAATTTTTGGGCATTTCTGCCTGAGAAATGACAGTTGATAACAGTTGATTAACAGCAGTTCTTTCAATAAATAATCTTATTTAATTAAGTCATCGTTTTAGCTCTGTTATTAAAAGATATAAATGTGTGGATAGATAGTGCTCTATAATGAATACTGCATGTTCAAACTGGTTAGATTTTTTTTTGACTAACTCTAGTGCTACCAACAAAACTACAGCATATTATACTTTTTGGAATTTCTGTGAAAAAAACATCATCCATTTTGATCATCTCTACAAATCTTGTGTGGGCTGTGGGGAATCTTTATTTGACTGACTTGTCATCCACTCCACATGGTCTTGCTGAGCATTGAATTCTATTTTGAAAGCTTCTTCCTCTTTTAGTACAATGGCTGCACTTAGGCCAACTTAAATGTCAGACAGTGATAAGTGAAAAAAAAAAGCAAAACTGCAACTGTATCACGCTGTGTACACATTCATTTTTTACATCTGTCAACACTCTCCTAAAGATCCCATTTTACACGTCGACCCTTTGCTACCAATACCAGCCCCCTGCCTCGCCTGGCCAGTACTATTCTGAAGAGGAGCCGAGAGCAGTCAGTCCTCCACTCGAGGTATCAGAAGGAGAGGATGAATTCGGAGACCACAACCACCCGTCCTTCAGGAGAGACACAAGTGAGTATTTCCTGTTAGGGTCGGTCTCATGGCTCTACCTTAACAGAGTGATCTAATTGAGAACATTTCATGGTCAGAAAAAGATTCAATTATTGAGTTTTTAATAATATAATGACTATAGGAAACACTGATTTATTGTCACATTATCTATGTAAAAAAACAAAACAAGTTTTCCATATTGCATTTTAAGTGGCTAATAAACTGGCCTGATTTTAGCATCTTAAAATAACTAACTGCTTTTATTCCTTTTTCTCACTAAAAGCTAGACCCTGACAACATGTTCTAATGCACTGAAAGTCCTACCTTTTCTCTTTTTAATCCAGGCAGGAAGAAAATCCGCTTATACCAGTTCCTCCTGGACTTGCTAAAAAATGGTGACATGCGAGACAGCATCTGGTGGGTGGACCAGGAAAAGGGCATCTTCCAGTTCTCCACAAAGCACAAGGAAACTCTGGCGAGCCACTGGGGTATTCAGAAAGGCAACCGTAAAAAAATGACCTACCAAAAAATGGCTCGAGCTCTGAGGAACTACGGTAAAACTGGAGAGATTAAAAAAGTCAAAAAGAAGTTAACTTATCAGTTCAGTGATGAAGTCCTGAGGAACCTGTACTTGCGTCAATATCCTCACTGATGAGGGACTAACTGTCACTGAAATCTCTAATCTAACCAGGGATTTGTTTCGCCTGCTTGCAGCATCCCTTAGTTGTCCAAGCATGTTTTCTATTCTATTTATTTCTGTTGCTATGTACAACTTTATGGCCTTTTCAGAAAATGTGTGCTCAAACAGGCTGGATCGAGATTTTTCCCTTTGTGACATCACAAAGAGACCTCTCACCCAGATGGGTGACACTACTATGTGTTTGTTCTGCCATCTGAGTCCCCCTTCTCACTGTAAAAAATAATCTAGCATGAAGTGAGAAGCCCAAGCCTACCCAGCAATAAGAGGGGCTGGATCTTAGCAAGAAACTCTATTCACAGGCGTATTTTGGGGAGCTCTGAGACTATTTTAAACTCCGTAAGAAGGAGTATAATATGTGGCGTCTAATGCCATTGTTTCAAAAGGTTTTCATTAAGTCATTGTTGTGACTGACTAAGTGCCCATTAATTAAATCTATACACTTAAACCTCACACTCAAACTCTGTACAGTTAAAAATTAGTGTCCAAAACAATATCCATTAAAGTGAAATTACATATTGAGAATATTGTAAGAATCACGTTAGTTATACGCCTTTATTTGTATTGTTAGCTAAACCATTCATAGTTCACTAAAACACCATAACTGTCATACACGTTAGTATCATTGATAAGCTAGCTGTAATTAAAATTTAATTTAGTAAGATACAAACTCATCTATTCAGCCAGTATTTTACTAGCATAACACTTGTAAGCAAGCTGAAATGGCCAACTAGCTTTAACTCTGCTCTGCTGCATGGATATGGCATGAACAGCTTTATAAAGTCTGCTCATATTTCAACTTATTTCACAGCTACCTGCCCCAGGAGTCAGGATGAAATAGCTGAACAATTCATTGAAGTATGTATGTAGTGCGTCAGTAGCTAGCTATTTTGCAGCAAGCTAACATTAGCTTTTCAATTCAAACAACTCCCCTAAGAAATCAAATCCCTGCTGATGCTAACCCTAACATAACAGATGGGTTTACTAAACAAAACTTTTTTTTACTTTGTGTTTGGCGTTATTATTCAATTATTGTTGTTCTTTTTTTCACATAAAGTACACCAAATTACAATTGTACCCTATCTTCAATAAAATACAATACAGGATTATTACTAGACTTTAACCATATAGATTGGCATAAAAACCACAGATAGTCATTAACAGTGATTCAAGCAACATGAGGGGAAGGGATGCCACACTGAATGTCCACACTGCTGCAAAACAGCTATAAACCACTAATAATTGTAAACAATAACAAGCAGCAACAGACATGTCCTGCTCCATCCCCTCAGCTACCTCCACAACCCCACTGATACAAGAAAACCACTTTCCACTCTGCTGCGTTCTTTTTGACCATGATGACTTCAGAACAGCCACTTTGCATTATGTCCATTCATTGTTGTAATCTCATACTTCAGACAGTGACAACTGTTGTAAAGAAATACAAAGGTACATAAATAAATAAATCAAAATGTAAATACATAGATAAAATGTGTATGTAGTTTTGTGTTTGACATTGTTTTGTGTTGGGTGCTGGTGGGTGCTAGGGAGCCGAAGAGAGGCAAGGCTCAGGTGAATACATTCATTGGATGTCTTGTTTTTTTTGAGTAATGTAAAAATTCCTTATCAAAATTGACTTTGCAAAGTGATTAAATTATTTCAATCAAATGTGCATTAAAACTCAACATAGTGCCTTTAATCCTTGTTATGTTTGGTCAAATCAGTAACAACCCAAAATGATCAATAGATAGACAGATTTGCGATATAAATAAACAGCTTTAGCCATTTGGATTACTCCCAGGACAAAGACATTTACAGCATGTAGCCTACCAGGTTAATGAAGTTATGAAATTTAACCAAACGGCAAAGCGCTAGCTACAAAATACAATATAAATTTTAATTGAGCATTTCATCCACAAATAAATACAACTGAAGCTATGAAACTTTAAAAACAGATTGTAAATATGTGTTGAGGGGTCCACACTTATGAAAAGACTTTTGGCAACTGAAGGGGATAGATAGACATACAGTAGGCTATAGATAGATAGACAGACAGACAGACAGACAGACAGACAGACAGATAGACAGACAGACAGACAGACAGACAGCAGTTAGATAGATAGATAGACAGACAGACAGTTAGATAGATAGATAGACAGACAGACAGACAGACAGACAGACAGATAGATAGATAGACAGACAGACAGACAGACAGTTAGATAGATAGATAGACAGACAGACAGTTAGATAGATAGACAGACAGACAGACAGACAGACAGACAGAAAGACTTCCATATTTTCTCAGCAAAGCTCTAAGTAGGCCTAAGGTAGGCTATGTTTCACCAAATGATAGCCTATTGGGCCTACCAAATGATAGGCTATAAAACATGACCAGCTAACTATATCGACAAATTGACCTACCTCTCTGTGAAGCACGGGCGATCAATCAATCAATCAATTAATTTTTATTGGTATAGCGTCAACTCATAACAAGTGTTATCTCGAGACACTTTACAAAAAGCAGGTAAAAGACCTTACTCTTTGTCTTTTAACATTACAAAAGAGCAGGTAAAAAGACCATACTCATTGTTATGTTACAAAAAGCAGGTGAAAGACCTTATTGCTATATTACAAAGATCACCATAGACTGTAAATATTACTTAACATTGGTCATTCCCCCCCACCCCACACCCCCTCCCCACCGGATTGTTGATGGACGGTTTGCCTCCCCCACCCCCTTGCTCCCTATCCCTCTTCCTGCATCTTATCCCATCTCACCCCCTATCCCTTTCCAAACCCGGCGCAGTCTAGGCCTGTGAATCCGGCCGAAGATTTCTGCCTTTTAATAAGGCAGTTTTTTCTTGCCACTGTAACTTTTGCTGCTTTGCTAAAAGTGCTCATGATGGATAGGCCGGATCTTTGTAACATAGCAATAAGTAAGGTCTTTTACCTGCTTTTTGTAGCATAACAATGAGTAAGGTCTTTTACCTGCTTTTTGCAGCATAACAATGAGTAAGGTCTTTTTACCTGCTCTTTTGTAATGTTAACAGACAAAGAGTAAGGTATTTTACCTGCTTTTTGTAAAGTGTCTCAAGATAACACTTGTTATGAGTTGACGCTATACAAATAAAAACTGATTGATTGATTGATTGATTGGTGTTTCCAGGGGGAAATAAACGTTTGAATGTTTTCTACTTCAGTATCCTGATGGAGCTGGGTGAGTTAAAATGTCACCAGGGATAGCCTATTCCCTTTAACTAACTTTAATAATATTCTCTATGAACTTCACTTTTAGGGCAAACAAATGACCCCTTGTGATTACTAACTTGTCTTTCGCATTATTATTATTATTATTAGGCTATATACAACTTGTCAGCAAAAAAAAAAAAGTCTATCATCACATTTGTGTTTTAGGATTTTCAGCCTGACATTTTTTAAACGGTTGAGGAGTCTATTTTATACCGCCCACCCAGCAACTGTTTCCGCTGACGTCACTCTAACCATCCAATCAAAGACCAGACGTTGTTTCGGTGCAAAATTCAAACGCCGTCCAGCTAACAGACGAACGGGCAGTCAGACGACAGCAGACAGTCGAAGTAAATTCCTTATTTCTTTTTTATTTTGAACACAACTTTTTTTTTTGGGAGGGGAGATTATTTCAACGCGTTTTTGGCTAAAGCTATACTGGCAACATGAGAGTGAGGTGAGTACTTAAAAAATATATTTGAATTATGCCTGAATTGTTGACGATAAAAGTGTTTTCTGTTGGCGACGCTTCCTGATTGGCCTGTTGATTTTGAGATCGAGCAAGGTTAGCTTAAATGTGAGCATAATCACTCCACCTGAATCATCGTAGGACAGAAGACGTCCATGTGGGGCTGTAATGAGGCATTTTCAATGGTAGCTTTTGACGAACTGATATTATTTACCTTTACAATTGGTGTTATAATGCAGCTTTTGAAAGCAAGCCAGCGCTGGCCTAACGCGGTGGATTACAGAATTGTGCTATCTAGTGTTAGCTGCCTGCTGCTAACAATCTGCTAAAATTACTCTACCCTAGACTGGTTTGACTGGTGTTTAAAACCCAAATTGCTGACCATGTCGAACCACTGTTTTCCTTCCAGTGAAGTCCACGCTGCAGAGTCTGTTGCCTACCTCAAAAGGTCCCTGATAAGGCTGCAAGATATTTGGGAAGAAATCGGGATTTCAGAGGAGCAGCGACTACAGAGGACCAATGATTTTCACAACTACATTAAAGTACATCCCTATAAGATTGAGTAAAACAATGAAATCTGATTGTGAAAAGCACAGAGCAAACGAAATGAAATACTCTGGTTTCCCACCCCCCCTTCTTCTGCAGAGTTTCCTGGACCTCATGATTGTTGAAGAGGAGGACCTCAAAAAGAGACTGCTGAAGAGCATCGAGTCCTGTGTGAAGGAACTTAATAATCTGTGCGGTGAACTTCAGCTGCCGCACTTCGAGGTAAAGTGGGAAGGTGTGGTTATTTCACCTAAACCTGTGTTGGAATAACGTTGGACTAACTTCCTTGATTTGCATGAAGGAGGAGGATGGCTGCACCATGTTGCTGATGGAGAAGAATAGCCGCACCCGTCTAGAGATGATGAGAGAGCAAAAGAGGAAAAGAATGGAAGAGCTTAAAGGCCTAATTAGCAAAGACCGTGAGCTGTGTGATATTATGTGCACTACCCCATTTTGCATTGAGCAGGACTCCACCCCGTCACTGAAGCAACTGGAGTCATATAATGCCTACCTGGACGATCTGACAAAGGAAAAGGTGCTGCTTCCTTTCTTATATAATTTTTTCAAATTACCTACTTCTTCTGAAAAGGGTTATGACCAGTTTTATCTTTTCAGGAGCGTCGCCACGATGAATTTGTAAGTGTCAAAAAGGAGATCAGTACATGCATGGATGATTTGGAGCGGCAACCAGACACCAGCTTTGAGATGGATGTGATGTGTGAAGATGAGGAGGCATTTTGTCTGTCCAATGACAACATTGCTGCTCTTAAACTACTCCTCAGTCAGGTGATTTTTTTTGGGTTGTGTGCATCCACATGTTTGTTCAATCTCTAACACTCGCATCGATTTGTATTAAATCAAATTATAATGGATGTATTATTTTGATACCATCTTCCAGTTACAAGAACAAAAGGCTGAGAATGAGCTCCGCTGCTCAGCTCTCCGCACGAAGATCCAGGAGCTGTGGGAAAGACTTCAAATTCCCCAAGAAGAGAGAGAAGCCCTTTCAGAGCACATGATGAAGTCAAAGAAGAAAAACCTTGAGGCGGTAAGAAGTCTATCTTCAGACAATAAAGAAGTGTTGTTTCATTAAAAAAAAAAACTCTTAACACCTCCATAACAATTGTGAATCTGTTCAGCTCAAGATGGAGGTCCTGCGTCTAGAGGTGCTGAAAATGCAGAGCATGCAAAGTGTTATTGAGGCCATCAGAGCTGAGATTCCCCCTCTGTGGGAGAGATGCTTCTACAGCCAAGAACAGCAGCAATCATTTTTTCCTTATCATGCGGGTAATTATCTGTTGTTCGATGACAAAGCCCTTCTAAGGTTTCACAATCATTAAGGGGCTGTGGGTTTCAGTGAACATTTTCTTTCTACAGACAATTTCACCGAAGAGCTTCTCGAGTTGCACGAGGCAGAGGTCAGGACGCTGAAGAAGTACTACGAAGACCACAGAGAACTCTTTCAGGGAGTCACTAAATGGCAGGAGAACTGGACTCTGTACATGGAACTTGATGTAAGTGCAATTCTTTACATTCTTATTTACAATAAGATAATTTTAAACAAATTGTCCTTTTAGTGTTTACATGTGTGGATGTATGTGATTTCCATGTCAGAAAAAAGCGAATGACCCTGCAAGGTTCAACAACAGAGGTGGGAACCTTCTGAAAGAAGAGAAGCAGAGAACTGACCTGCAAAAGAGTTTACCTAAGGTGAGGAAATGTTTGGAACTGATGAACATTGTCACTAAATACAAAAACTTTTAGAATTTTGACGAGTAACCGATGGAGACTGAAATCCCACTGTAAATATAATTTGGTAAAATGACAATTTATATCAAGTGTTGTTGTTTTCTTTTCCAGCTGGAAAAGATTCTGAAAGCTCAAGTGGATGTTTGGGAGCAGGAAAATGGCAAAGAATTTCAGGTCAATGGACAGAAATTTCTGGAATATGTGAAGCAACAGTGGGATCACCATCAGGCTGAAAAGGAGAAAGAGAAACTGGAGAGGGTATTTTATTTATATTGTTTAAAAACTGCAGTAAGTTATTTTTATATATACCAGTGTTTTCAATTAGGGTCAAATGCTTTTGTTTCAAACAGCAACAAAAGAAAACTAAACAGACACAGGAGGACATGTTGTATGGAACTGCAAGAACACCATCCAAAAGGAGGATAGCAGGCACAACCACTCCTGGAAAAGTGAGAAAGGTAAGGTTTATTTTGTTTTTCCATGTGTGATTCTTGCTTGTGTCTCGATACCCCGGCGAGTGAATGGAATCCAACTTAGACCCACCTTTTTTTTTTCTCTCTCTTTCCATTTAGCTCAACGGCATGTCGACCCTCTCCACTCCAAACAGCTTTCTTAGTTCAGGCCTCAGTGGAACCATGTGCCAGTCCTCCATCCAGAAACCCCCTCTGTCTGCCAGCAAGGTATGCTCACTGTCTTCTGTTTGGTTGAGCTCACTAAGAAAAGAAATTCAAGCCCTGTACCAGCCAGGCCTTTGAGATGAGATTGTTTGACCCTGTATGTGAATCTCTTGTTTATTCCATTCTGTATAATAAAAGGGTTAGGCAGCATGTAAACACTTCCATTTTTTTTTAAACCAGAAAGGTGGCTGAACAATGAAGTTGTTGATGGTTTTGTTGTAGGGTCTTGGCCTGCGAACCCCTGGGCAGGGAAGGACTCCTCGTGTACTAGACCGAAACAAGGAAAATCTCTCCCATCTCAATAAGAACACCCCAAGTGGCACACAAAGGTCTCAGGATACTCAAGATCACACCATCACCTTTAACTCTATTGCTGGCTCCTATTCGGAATTTGCGGTAAATGCGGTTTTACATCTGTTAAGACTCAAACTATAAAAATGCACAAAAGTAAAATCTAATCATTTAAAAAAAAAAAATACTTATTCTGGATAACACCAGTCCCATGGAGAACATTTTAATACATACTACTGATAAAAGTCTGTAGGCTAATTGATATAAACCATCAACATTACAGTTGAAGCTAATGCTAAAATTACATTTAAATGTTTTTCTTTCTACAGATACAATTAATGTGTAAAATATATTTCTAGTTTGATTATGTATTTTTAATCATGTTTTTTGAAGTTCAGCTGGTTATAAAATCATCCAATTAAAATCCTTAAAACCAAAGACTCAACAACAAGGTTTTCTAGGCCACAGTTTAACCTTCCAACACATTGCTCTGACTTCAGGACAAAAATATGTTTCACAAAGTATTAGGCATCATTCTTACATGCTACACCATGTGGACACACATTGACTTGTACATGATGTCTCGTCTTAACAAAGATACTGATGGTTGTTTTGACTTTTCTTCACAGAGAGACCTCTCGAAAGCTTCTAAATCGACCGTGAAGACAGGTATTCTGAACTCCACTGTCAGTCATCAGTGATGGATCAAAGCTACCCTAGAGCCTTGCAACAATTTGGTGTGGTTTTTATATAGAGGACAAGGGGGGTGGGGGTGAACCTTAATGTAAACTTCTTACATAACCTGTAAATATTTACATCTGTGTAACCATCTTTGGTCTTTCTACATTCTGTTTTTACGATTTTTATCAGGCTTTCAACTGAAGCCGTTTATAATGTTTGTATTGGTGTGCAAGTTAATGATGTTTGTACCACAGCGGTTGTGGCTTTTTATTTGACTTTTTAGGGGGATGGGATACAGCCTTTTAACTGAAACATGACTATACCTAGAGCACTACATTGTGTTAGCACTGTAGCAGATATTCAGTGCACAATTATTTTCTTTCTCCAGCTGGAATGACAGCTCTTCACAAGTGTAATATTTTCAGTGCTTTTTGTAATAAGCTGTAAATAAATGCTTTTAAAAAGGTTAATCCTTTCAACCTTTTCCTCATGAAATGGTCTCCTTCTGTCATTTTAAATTTTGATTGATGTTTTGTTTCTCATCTGAGTTCAAGTAATGTAATAGTTTGTGTCATCTGTTTCTGTCCACACTATCTGATGTTTTATAGTGCTTTTCACATACACTGTAGACGTCAGGTTATTCTGTAACACACAGCAGAAACAAGATGTTATGTTTACGCCATGCGTGTCATGAGTTCTTCAAGCGCTCGTTCACGGTGATTTTCATGTACAAGCAGCACTTCTTTGATGGCACTTTGCTGAAAACCCATCTCATTAAACTGTGTCAGGAGGTGCAGGAACTCTGCAGCCTAAAATCAGAAGTAAGGGAAAAAAAAAACAATTTATCATGCACATTACAAGTTATTGCAAATGATTACTGATTTTGCTTTTGGTACATAAACACTGGAGTGGGAGTGACCTTGCTTTCACAGTTCTGAAACATCTCCATGGCCTCCTCCACCTGTGCTTCCTCGAAACCCAGCTCGCAGAGACGGTAACTTGCCGCCAGGTATTTTAGGATCTGTTGATTAGATAAATATGGATGGCCTGTGTAGTTTAGAGGACACTCAAAAGTATTAAACTCATCTGTTTTTGGTTTAAACCGTGATTCACAACCTCTAAACGTGTAAAGGTACATACCTTATCTGGGCTGTGAAAGCCGGTCTTCTGAAGAGCCAGAATGGCTGTGCGCAGAGGGTAGCCCTTCTCTGTGATGGTTTCAAGTAGCTCCCTCTCCTCTTGGCCGAGTGCTGACATCAACTCTGCTGCAGAGTCAAAGAAAACCCCACAGGAGCTGCCTGTTCTCAGGCCCTGATGGTAAGGAAAATCAAAGATTTGGTTATTTCAAGGACAAAGAAGAAAGTGTATGATATTTTCAGGACAGAAAAGACAAACCTGTCTGTGGTGTTTGACCAAAGGCCCTGCAGAGGAAGGTCGTATCTGTTTAAGCCTGGAGGGAGGGGGTGTGTTTTGGGAGAATTTTCGGACCACAGATCTAAGTGAACTTTTCTTTTTGGTATTTTTCTGCCCAGGAGGGATTGGGCTGGCCTGATCAGACCTGTGCTGCTCAAGGGCTCGTAGAGGTTGTCTGCTGTTTTGAAGAGAAGGTGAGGAGCCTCTGGATCTTCTGAGGCCCTGAGATGATGCAGGCCTACAGTGGTGAGAGGAATGAGCACAGTGCATGTCTTTGACTCTGGAGAGCGGGTCTTTAGGTGCAGAGCTCCAAGGCAATTCTCTGCTCATGATGGGGCGGTGTGTATCTTCTGCGGAGGAGCCTTCAGTATCCTCAAAGTAACCATCATCATCCTCAGAGTCAGATATGAGGAACCTCACAGTGCAATGGCGCTGCCAGCAAGAGTCTACAGAGTTCAGGCTGTTACTGCGGGGCCGAGCAGATACGATCCAGGGGTCGCTGCTCCTGCGTCTGGTTCTGCGACTCTTTTGAGGAGTTCTAAACATCAGCCAGTAGGGGGGGCAGGAGGGGGCCTTACAGTCCAGCTGCTGCCCAGTTAAAATCCATTTCTCCAAGTTGAAACCATACTACAGGAAAAACATGGAGTTTAAATATTTAGGCATGTTTTTTTACAGACAAATGGCAATGAAAAAACTTGAAACTGAAATTAAGAAAACATCAAAATTAAATGCAAAGGTTCACACCAAAATGAGGGACAGAGGGAATGAAGTGGCAGATAGATTCACACAGCATAAGCAGCCCTAAACATCCGTAAGAATACAACACTTTATCAATTTAAACATTGTTTAATAATCTTAAAAAATCTTGAAAATAATTGATTGAGGAGTGCCGGATAGGTAAGAGGTTATGACGCGCACCCCATGTACGAAGACTAAAGTCCTCATCGCCGCCAGCAAGCCCTGGCTTTGAATGTGACCTCAGCCTCTCTCAGCTGTCCTAAAAGGCAAAGATGGCCCTAAAAATAACTTTAAAACTTTGTGCTTCCCTTATTTGTTTTTACTGCGCACCACTGTTTGTTCAGATGTGACGCTCTGATACTGCTGATGGATGTGTAGACTATCCAGTTGGAGCACTCAGTGCAAGACACAATTTCTGATCACTCAAAAGTATTGTTTCTATTTTTCTGTATAAAAAACTAATTTGAACACATGCTGTATATTCCTATAGCTTCCTAAAATGTGTGATGTGTCCACATTAGGTCCCTGTCGGCTTATCATATGGGCTAACATAATCATATCAGTCAGGCTCTTCCTTTTGGAATTCAGCACTTTATTTTCACAGCAGCTTAACTGACTGACAACCAGGAGTTCTTATGTCTTCAACAGTAATTATCAGAGAAAACCCTGATCACTGCTATCTAACAATCCCAGAAAGCCTTTCAGCTTTCTGAAAAAACAAAAAACAATGCATACAACCTCAGTGTCTCGTAGTATCCAACCACAGTCTGGTAAAGTGATGTCTGGGACTGTCACAAGCTGTACTTCTTCCCGCAGTGGACCAAGTGGGGTCTGAAACGGGACGTCATCCAGAGGGCTCATTTTCTCCAACATGCACCTCCTGCATCAGCAGATTTATTTAGAGTTCAATAGATTTAAGTTAAAGAAAAATAATTACAAACATATGAAGACTTACTTTGTCAGGTGTTCTCTGTCCTGTCCGCAGCGCCTCTGATGAATATACAGCTAACACACAAACATCATTACACGTGATAAATCTCTTCCCTGCTAATCCTCTGACATCATCCAGGGGAGTTGTTTACGATTAATACCAGACACCCACTCTGATCCTGATACAGTATTAATAATCACTAACATAGATGTATAAAAATATACACATACAAATATTTACTACAGTATTATCACAACTCTTTGAAACTTACCCTAATATTGCGAGATATTTGTATTTTTGACTTTTGCTACATAGATATCTTTCTCCATTACATTGTATCTGTATTTTATTTATTGACACTCTATCCATCTTTGTGTATAGCCATGTTTCCCGACAGTGGGACTTTTTCATTTCAATTTGGACTTGCAGGGGGATTAGGACAATGCTGAGTTATTGGAAAGAGGACAGCACAATACTTTCCAGAGATTAGCCGATTATATAAAGGGGAAGGCATAGCATTGTGGAACAACACTCATGAATTAATCTCCTGTTTGAATGACTCATCAGTGTTTGAGAAATAAATGAACACAATTTGTTTCAGTGGCCGTACCGGCGTGCATTCTTGTCAGCAGTCAAGTTTCAAGGTAAAGTCAAAATTAAAATTCTGTATAGAGATCACATTTTATTTTATTTATATATATATATTTATATATATTTTTTTTTAAACAATCACAATGAATTAAGATTCACAAACTTCAGGGGGGGTTGACAGGTAATGTAACAGACCTCTGAAAACAGAAAAGCAGTGAACTCAAAGAAAAGGAAACTTACAGCAAAAGGAGAACAGCTCTAGTTTAATCTCATTTTAAAGCACAACAGCGTTTTTAGGGAGTACAGCAGCATGGTTCAGTCATGGAGCTATAAGGTGGAGCTTTGAGTACAAACATGTGTATTGAGTACCTTTAAGTAACAGAAGATTACATCACTGAAGTTGCGTTTTCAATGCTGGGGAACAAACAAAGAAAATCAAACTACAAGTGTAGTTCTGAGGAATGTCTGACTAAGCAGGTTTAGAGCAGCAACCAGCTGATGATTGCTTTGATATGAAATGCATCATCAGGTTGAATGACAAGTTCAAGATTATGTCTAAGAACATGTTTATGAAGGCATTATTTCAGTCACACTTCAAAGTAAGCTGGCTATCCTGTCGAACCTGCTTAGAGAGACAGCCCTCCTCACTAGTCCTGTGATCCAGAGGTCTGATAGTTAACATATATATTCCCTAAACAACGGGCTAAAAAAGGAAATGGGCTAAATAACGAAAATAACCATTCTGGCTGTTTTAAAGGTCACCAATAGTTTTCACCTGCTTTGTTTTGTGTGCTGGTGCTTTACATGACACGATGTGTTCCCCTAATTAGAGGTAATGTCATACAAACTGCTTACAAATGCTACCTAGGCAGTGTAGCTCAACATTTACAGCCCGGTTTTTACTGTGAACACCATTATTACAATGGTGGTACAGAAGAAAACATCAAAATATTGATGCGTCATGGAATATTATGCCCTTATGATTCAAGGCATCACTTGTCATGGTAACATCACATCTACACTCTCTCAGCGCCTCACATTTTCAAGTGTGCAGTATGATCCCATTCTTTCCATTTGCTTCCCTTACCATGACAGCCTATCACCACAAAAAGAGAAAACAAATTAACTAACTACAAATCCTTTCATGAATAAAATTGCATTATCTTTATATAGATAAAATGTTAACAATCCCCAGAGATTGAAATTTCTTATAAAGGTCCACATAGCTGTGAGCGCACCGCTAGAGAATTATCATCAAATGCACGGGACCAAAAGGTTGTTACGCTCTCTTAACTTGTTCATCCTGAAACACTCCTTGGTGAGAACCAGCGGCTTGTAATACATCTAACACAATGTCCACAGCTTGTTTGTCAGGAGCTATAGTAAAACCCAGAGTTGGCATCCAAAGGTTCATGGTATTCTATTGATTTCAGAGGGAGTTCGAGGTGAAAGGAGCTACTTGTTCAGTTGTTAGCAGCGTCTGCCTGCCGAGGCCAGTTCTCCTCTTCAATGCCCGAGTCGTATTCCTCCTCCGCAGACTCCTTAGCTGGCGCTCTGAAATTCAAATGGAAAGTCCAGTTCAGGTTTCAAATCACTCTACGTTAAGAGACACAAAGTGCTGGGCTTGAGAAATCTGATCTCTTCCATAACACATATTTGGCCCTGTCTTGTGGGCAGAGAGATACTGACCTGATATATCTGGGTTGTGCTTTTCCTTGGACAACATCTTGGTCCAGCTCTACGGCCATGATGTCAGAGTGTGGCACCTCAAACATGGGCTCTAGAAGGAGCTTTTCCTGAACATAGAGAATATTTGATTCGTTTTTGAGTTTAGACTTTATGAGTTGCAGGAAGTAATATGTTTGTAACCCTAAGCAAAATAACTTACCATGATGGACCTGAGCCCACGAGCTCCAGTTTTTCTCTCCAGAGCCATCTTGGCAATGGCCCTCAAGGCATCTTGATTCACATTAAGTTCACACTAAAACAAAAACAATGCAGATTTATTTTAGTTGTACTAACTAACTGTACAAGTCATCGTTCTAAAAAATAAATAAATAAATAAATCTCTCAAAAACAACAACACAAATCCCTGCAGATCTGTTAAATGAAAAAGGGACCTGAGCTCTAGAGGCTGTGCTTATCAGGTTTAACTATGGCCCAGAAAGGACAGCTTGTGCAGCACATCCAGGAATTTAAGGTTTCATCAAAACAATACTCAAGGGTCTTTATGCCATGGAAAAGGGACTTAAAACTCAAAGCAAACATTTTCCATTTGCTGTTAATACTGCAGTAATCCATCAGGAATTTGCATTTTTTTTTGACTGGATGAATCTGAGCCAGGATTTACTCATTTGACGGCGCCCCCTAATTGAACCTCTCACCCACAGAGTGATCCCATTTAATGAAAGAGGTTGCCTTTTTGTTCCCCTTTATTTATTTAATTTTTTACAAATTGCTGTTGTTGTCTAAGCATGGCTTCATGCTTTACTGTATCACCCGGTGCCTCAGAGCCCTTACTTTGTCCATGCTGAACAGAGCCTGGTATTGGGGCACCACAGCATTGCGAGGTTCGGTCAGGATTCGGACTAGTGTTTCTTCGTCCAGGCTGTGCAGAGGAACGACGACGGGGAGACGGCCAACAAACTCTGGGATCATTCCGAACTCAATCAGGTCCCTGGCCTCTACATGCTTCAGCAGCCTGTCCTTCTCCTCTAATTCTGCAACTGTGTCCGTCTCACCGCTGGTGTTGGCCAAGTCTGCGGCAGCCGCTGCACGTCGCCCTTTCCCCAGATTGGAGGGAGTCCCGAAACCCAAATACTGAAACTCATGAAATACAGGGATAAAGTAAGATTACAAGACATGTATTTTTTATTTGTTTGCAATGTCCGAAGATAAAAGCTTTGTTTGAATTTACCTTTTCATTCTTTCTTCTGCTTATGATTCTGTCTAGTCCGTTGAAGGCACCGGATGCAACAAACAGGATGTTTGTTGTGTCTACCTGCACTGTTTCTCCCCTCAGTTTCCTGGAATTTTTCTCAGGAACATTGACGATTGTTCCCTCCAAGAGTTTAAGCAGACCCTGACAGAGAGGAAAAGGACAAAAAAAAATATGATCTACATGAGGTAAATCAAAGCAGGACCTGGACTGATGAAACAAAAACAGGAATCTAGTTACAGTGTATTGTTTAATCCTGACAGTGTTCTTTTCGAACCAAACTCCTTAAAATGTAGTGCTAGCAGTTTCACTCTCACTTTAGTGTCCTAAATAAATGCATTATAAGTTTGATCAAGTTGAATTGAGGTGTAATACTGACCTGCTGGACTCCCTCTCCTCCTACGTCTCTCAGCTGATGGATTCCGGGCACACTGCCAATCTTATCAACCTCGTCCAGAAACACAATACCTGCATATTGAATACAAACACAGATTCAGTTGTCGCAAGGACTCCCCACACGTATGCAATGTTTATTTAGAATTCGGCTACACAATACACTTAACACAAGTCAGTTTTAATTCAGTTACACAAGTGTTGAAATGTGAAGGAAACACTCTGAGACCCTGTTGTTTATGTTTATGCATTCCAGTTTGGTCTCATGTGTTTAACTACCTCCTGCTGCCTTCCTATTCCGGGTTTATGAGTTTATGTAGGCAAAACAGAGGGCAGAGTCACTGTCACGTGTCATGTTAATACAAACTTAAAAGAGTTCATGTGAAATCTCTTTTTTATTTGTACCTTTCTTGCACTGACTTGTTTTTTTATCAGCTTTTAATTAAATACAGAATTCTTCAAAGTTCAACCAAATGCAATTCTTTTCAATGTTTATCTCAAACATGATATCAATTTACAGAATACAAGTGCACGTACGTACAAACACACACTGTTGGTGCTGTTTGTTTTGATTCTTGTGTTTAACAGGAAAATGTGGTACGATGTTAACAGGGAATCGACAGTGTAGTTACGCGTGGTCCTTCTGCCTACCTTGTTGTGCTTTGTCCACCGAGTAGTTGGCATCTTGGAGCAGTTTGGCAATAACTGACTCGATGTCTTCTCCCACGTATCCGGCTTGAGTTAACGTGGTACAATCGCAAATGGCAAAGGGAACATCCAGACAACGTGCCAGTGTCTGAGCCAGCAATGTTTTCCCTGTAAAAAAAAACAACAACATTTATTTGTAATACATTTTAAATTTGCTAAATGGATTTATATTAACACAAATCTGCATCTGTGGCAGAGCACTTCAATTAATATTATAAATTAGGACATTGACCGAAAACAAACCTGAGCCAGTTGGACCTAAAAGTATGATGTTGCTCTTCTCCAGTTTGATTTCAGTGTGTGTGGAGTCTAAG